TTTTTTTTTTCTCTGGTGTGGGTCATTTCATGTTGTTTACAAATTCTTTTCTCATAAAAACTCTTTTCACTCTACTGGCATTTGAATGGTCCTTCTCCAGTGTGCATCATTTCATGATGTTAACATTTACTTTTCTAATTAAAACACTTTATACAATAGTGTCATTTGAATAATTTTCCCTGGTGGGAGTCATTTTAAGCAGTGTACATGTAATATTGATAATAAAACTCTTTATTCAATACTGGCATTTGAATTAAAGGTATAACAATTGTTTGTAAATTATTCATATTTCACAATAAATCCAATGTAAACAGCTCATAGAAATTTTCAAATTCCATTTTACCACCAAAAAACAGTGGTTAATGTAATTGTTCTCGAATTTGTGCCATCACATCACATGATCTCCATAGATAGCTACACTCTGTAGTAATCTCTTAAGAGAATATTACAGAAACCAAACTTTTGAGAAAAAAACAGGCACTAACTTTAAATGTGGGAATGGATTCATTAACCATTGGTAGTATGAGAAAATTGTCCTTTACCCTACAGGCCTACCCAACTACCAGACTCGGCACATAAGGATCCTGACTTAACCGGTATATCAGACCACACTACCCATTTTCAAGGTGTGTGTCAGATCGCATTTCGGAGCATCAGTCAGAACACTGACAGGATGAGCCCGCGGTCGTCCTACAAAAATTGTTCTTGGGTATGATAATCCGAAATGTGATCTGACCACACACCTTGAAAACGGGTATTGTGGTCCGATATACCAGTTAATTCAGGATTCTTATGTGACGAGTCTGGTAGTTGGGTAGGTCTGCCCTGGGAAAATCCATTTTTTGGCTAAAATGAACAGTTGCTATCCCTTTAATTAGTCTTTTCCAATAAAGTTCTCTCATGCTGTTTTTCTCCAGTGTGAATCCTTTCATGCTGTTTACAGTTACTTTTCTTAATAAAAGACTTTGAACAAAATTGGCATTGGAATGGTTTTTCTCCAGTGTGGGTCCTTTCATGTTCTATACATGCACTTTTCTCAAAAAAACTGTTTTTACAATACTGGCATTTAAATGTTTTTTCTCCTGCGTGCCTCATTTCATGGCGTTTACAGTTATCTTTTGCTCTAAAACTCTTTTCACAATACTGGCATTTGAATGGTTTTTCTCCAGTGTGGGTCCTTTCGTGTCTTATACAGTTACTTTTTACTCCAAAATTCTTTTCACAATACTTGCATTTAAATGGTTTTTCACCAGTGTGAGTCATTTCATGTTGTGTACAATGAGATTTTCCTCTGAAACCTCTTTTACAATACTGGCATTTATATGGTTTTTCACCAGTATGAGTTTTTTCATGTAGCATACACTTATTTTTTTCAGTAAAACTCTTTCCACAATACTGGCATTGGAATGAGTTTTCTCCACTGTGAGTTCTTTTCAACTGTTTTTCTCCAGTGTGGATCCTTTCATGTTTTTTACAGTAATTTTTGTTATTAAAAGACCTTTGACAATAATGGCATTTGAATGGTTTTTCTCCATTGTGGGTTCTTTCGTGTTGTTTGCAGTTTCTTTTGTCGTTAAACCTCTTAAAACAATACCGACATTTGAATGGTTTTTCTCCAGTGTGAGTCCTTTCATGTTGAATACAGGCATTTTTGTCAATAAAACTCTTATCACAATACTGGCATTTGAATGGTTTTTCTCCAGTGTGTGTCCTTTCATGTCGAATAAATGACCTTTTCTCAATAAAACTCTTATCACAATACTGACATTTAAATGTTTTTTCTCCTGTGTGAGTCCTCTCATGTAGAATACATGAATTTTTCTCAATAAAACACTTTTCACAATACTGGCATTTGAATGGTTTTTCTCCTGTGTGAGTCCTTTCATGTAGAATACACTTCTTTTTATCAATAAAACTCCTTCCACAATATTGGCATGTGAATGGTTTTTCTCCAGTGTGGATCATTTCATGGCGTGCCCAGCTGCTTTTGATAGTAAAACTCTTTACACAATACTGGCATTTGAATGTGTTTTCTCCAGTGTGAGTTTTTGAATGTGGTTTTTCTCCAGTACAAGAGGGAGTTCTTTTCTGCTGTTTTTCTCCAGTGTGGATCCTTTCATGTTGTTTACAGGTTTGTTTCTTATTAAATTTTTTTTCACAATACTGGCATTTAAATGGCTTTTCGCCAGTGTGGGTCCTTTCATGTTGTTTACAATTATTTTTCTCATAAAAACTCTTTTCACAATACTGGCATTTAAAGGGTTTTTCTCCTGCGTGCCTCATTTCATGGCGTTTACAGTTATCTTTTGCTCTAAAACTCTTTTCACAATACTGGCATTTGAATGTTTTTTCTCCAGTGTGGGTCCTTTCATGTCGTATACAATTACTTTTTACTCCAAAACTCCTTTTACAATACTGGCATTTGAATGCCTTTACTCCAGTGTGGATCCTTTCACATTGTTTAGATGTACTTTTCTCACTAAAAGGCTGTTCACAATACTGGCATTGGAATGGTTTTTCTCCATTTTGGATCCTTTCATGTTGTTTACAGTTACTTTTCTTATTTATAGACTTATCACAATTCTGGCACTGGCTTGGGTTTTCACCAGTGTTGATTTTTTTGTGTCGCATACTGTAACTTTTGTCTTTGAACTCCTTTAAAGTTATTTTTTTAATTGAGTAATTATATGTTTAACACAGCAGAATTTGGTAGACAATTCCTTTTATAACATTGCTATTAGTATATTGGTGGTTTCTCTTTAGTGTGTGTCCTTTAGCAGTTGGTTCTGGAAAAAACGATGAAAATCGGTTAAAGTATACAAAACAATTAAATGTCGATCCCCATACCATGGCATAGAAAAGTAATTTCTAAAATAATGTAGATTTGTAGGTTGCGATTTGGATGATCTTCTCAGAGGCGAGCAGAAGTTTATGTGCAGGTTAATGTTGCAACCTGGCCAGCGACAAAATCGTTGCTGATGAATATATGCGTCCCTTACTATTCGTTTTGCTCACTAACGAAATGCACGTAAAAAGGGTAAATATTGTTATTCGATACTATGCATGTTCAGGACAGACCAAATCCCAAATAAATAAATAAAATTGCTCACAGAGCTAGACTTGCTTTCTTAATTCAACAAATATTAACTTAATCTATTTCACTTTTACTAAATACAGATGGCTCATCTCAATTAATTGCCTGATGGAACTGATGTTTAACACACTCTGCTGCAATCAGTGGCAGATTTAGGGGGTGTCAGGGGGGTCTTGACACCCCCTTCGGTTTCTGAAAGAAATCACACTAATGGTTCCCTCTTGAAATTAGAATTTTGACGAGCTGAATCATAGTTCTAAACTGCACCAAATGGCACCTTTCGTTCTCTAAAAGACTAATTTGTTGGGGGGCCCTTTCAGCGGGCCAGGAACGGGGGAGGTGGGGGAAGAGAGTTGGCTTTGCATCTGTGAATCCCCTCCCCCTCCTTCAAATAATCCTGGAGCTGCCCCTGGCTGCAATGCATTCCTCTTTTTTTTAATGGTATGTTGAATCAAGGAGTTATAACTCCTTGGTTGAATTAAATTTGGTAGTAAGGTTTGTGATACTGATCCTTTTGCTTACAATTACTACATTATTAATACAAAATAAAACATGAAAATACATGTAAAATATACTGTATGTATGTGTAATTATAATCATCTACCTCATATCAGCAACAATGAATTTCTAGAAAGAGCTGAAAGGGAAGGAGAAGAAATTTGCTGAAAACAATTAGAAAGAGGCAGTTAGAGACATATAATGAGGTTATGAGGATTGGTCACAGGGAAAAAGCAAAGGAAAGAAAAGCAGAGGAAGACCAAGAAATAAGGTTTATTGATGGGTGTGTCCAGTGAAACAATTCTGAGATCATCTGAAGAAAGGAAGTTGTGGAGATCCATGACAGTCAATGTCCTGCAAGGACAAGATACCAGATACAAGAGACTAGAACTAATATGGATATTATAAAACTGTGTGGGTCCTCTGGTTCATGGGAGTTTTGAAAAAAGACAACTTAGTGAAAAATTAAAAATTCACACAAAAATTAAAGAACATAAAGTGGATGTAATTATACTGCAAATTTTTCTTTTATTCTTATAAGAGCAGTATTGTATATCTAAAGAATTTTCTATAATTTTTCAAAGAAAAATGTTACATCAGTTCCTTAAAGTGAACACTCCCTAAAAACCGTGTGTCACTTCATCCAACAAACATTTAAAAAAAGACTAGCTTGTCAATAATAATGAGCAAGTCTACCACAATACAGAACAATGTAATTGTCATTATGTAATATGGGTATTTTTTATCTTATTATTATTATTATTATTATATATTTATTTATTTTGATTGTGATAATAGGTCTAGATTGTACTAAATGTATCTATATACAAGTAGTTTAGAGGGCCTGCAAAATGTACTGAAACATTTTAGTGCTCAATAAAATTATTATTATTATAAACTTGCTCCCAAATTTTACATGATTATCCATACTCGCTTGTGTCTCTATTATTTCAACATCAAACTACATGCTTTTGTTGCCTTCTACTGGCATGCACCACCCTGAGTGTCAGGGCACTGTAAAGCCAGATTGCTCACTATACCTTTTCATGTGTTAGATTTACAGTGCTTGCAGTATTGGTGATGTGGGCTATATATGAAATCAAGATTGAGCTGGCAATACCAAAACCTAGAGTATCATGCACTGACTCAGTTACCAACTTAGTCTTTAGCTTTCAAAAAACAAATCAATGAAAATAAAGTCTCATCTTTTTTTAGTTTTATTTTCTTTCGACATGCAGTCATAATTTTTTTTTTGTTTTTTTTTCCTTTTGACATTCAGTTATAAAATAATTAATTTTTTCATTGATATTATTAGTTGCACCCGAATGTTTGTCATGGCACATTAAATTCAAGTATTAATTGACATTATACATCTGCATCCGCAAATACATTTCTAAACATTGCCACAGGATATATTTCTGGTCTCACTTTTTGGGCAATGTTTTCATTAAATTCCTTTTTTACTATAGCTACAGAATAGAACTCCCTTTGTTCCTTTGTCCCTGGAGCCGTATCTTCATCTTGAAATTCTACTTTGATAGACTGAGGAGAAACCTTAGCTCCATGTGATGCATCCTCGTTTTGACATTCCTTCTTGAAAGACTGTTGAGAAAAACCAGTGTGAATCCTCATTTCATGTTGTACACAGTTACTTTTATCATCAAAACTGTTTTCATAATACTGGCACTTGAATGGTTTTTCTCCAATGTGGCTTATTTCATGTTGTGTACATGTACTTTGGTCACCAAAACTCTTTTCACAATACTGACATTTGAATGGTTTTTCTCCAGTATGAATCTTTTCATGCCATTTACAGCTATATTTCTCCTTATAACTCTTTTCACAATACTGGCATCTGAATGGTTTTTCTCCAGTGTGAGTTCTTTCATGCTTTATACATGTACTTTTGTTAGTAAAACTCTTTACACAATACTGGCATTTAAAAGGTTTTTCACCAGTGTGGGTCATTTCATGTTGTTTACATTTACATTTCTTAATAAAAGTCTTTTCACAATACTGGCATTTGAATGGTTTTTCTACAGCGTGGGTCTTTTCATGTTGTTTATGGTTACTTTTGTCATTAAAACACTTCTCACAATACTGGCATTTGAATGGTTTTTCTCCAGTGTGGGTCCTTTCATGTTGAATACACTTCTTTTTGTCTAAAAAACTCTTTTCACAATACTGACATTTGAATGGTTTTTCCCCTGTGTGTTTCATTTCATGGCGTTTACAGTTATATTTCTCACAAAAACTCATTTCACAAAACTGACATTTGAATGGTCTTTCTCCAGTGTGAATCCTTTCATGTCGTATACGGTCATATTTCTCACTAAAACTCTTGTCACAATAGTGACATTTGAATGCTTCTCCAGTGTGGGTTCTTTCATGGTGAATACACTTCTTTTGGTCAATAAAACACTTTTCACAATATTTGCATTTGAATGATTTCTCTCCAGTGTGGATCAATTCATGTCGCGTACATCTACTTTTGACACTAAAACCTCTTTTACAATACCGACATTTGAATGGTTTTTCTCCAGTATGGGTTCTTTCATGCCGTATACACGTACTTTTGTCAGTAAAAGTCTTTTCACAATACTGACATTTAAATAACTTTTCTCCAGTGTGGGTCCTTTCATGTTGTGTACATCTATTTTTTAAACTAAAACTCTTGTCACAATACTGGCATTTGAATGGTTTTTCTCCAGTGTGAGTCATTTCATGTTGTTTACAGTTACTTTTCTCATAAAAACGCTTCACACAATACTGGCATTTGAATGGTTTTTCTCCAGTGTGGGTCATTTCATGGCGTATACAGTTACATTTCTCACTAAAACTCTTATCACAATACTGGCATTTGAATGGTTTTTCACCAGTGTGGGTCTTTTTATGGCGTATACAGTTAGTTTTCTCTCTGAAACTCTTTTCACAATACCGACATTTAAATGTTTTTACTACAGTGTGAGTCTTTTCATGTTGTATAGAACTTTGTGACACTAAATCACTTTTCACAACTCTTGTATTTGTATAGTTATTCTTTAAATGGGCTAATTCCATTTTAATCAGTTGGTTGTGTTCGTTAACCTCTGGAATTTGTATTTGTAAGAAACGTACTGTATTTGCACATCGTTTTCACTGGGTGTCAGTCGGCCATGGTGTTGTGATTTAGATAATCTTCGTGGAGGCGAGGTGAAGTTATGTGCACGTATATGTTGCGTCCTCACCAGCAATAATATCGTTGATGATATACAGCAGGGCTTTTCCCAGGATTGGGGGTACAGACCGCTCAAAATTAGCACCTGTAATTCCTACAAAATATCAGGAGCCCTCATATTTCCAAAAAAAAAAATCCATAAGCCGTCCTGTCGTCTTTGAAAATATAGGCTTCTCCAGTGTGATGCTGGCGGTCGTCCAAATGCCGGCTGGGCGGTTCTCTTCCCTTGATATACAGCAACGTTGCACTAATCCATCTGGCTTTTTACTATTGTTTCCGTACGAGGCAGTGCAACCTATTGGTAAAAACACCATACAAGTAAAAAGGGTAAAAACCTTATTCGATTCATCTTCAGGACAAGCCACATTCATAGGCGTTGGTTTTTAGCGAAAAAAGACACAACAGTTCGTATGACTCATTGAGTATAGTTAGATTTATTAGTTCATCTGAAACCTTAAATATTGACTGTCTTTTGCCAAAGATATTAATAACGTAAAATTTCAACCTTTGCAATGAACTCCTCCTGTAGCATTGCCATTGGCGCCTTCTTTGAACATTGCTTTGGCTGGCTGACCTCAACCTGCAAATTGCGCGACCACTGCAAAGCAAATGCGCTGGATGATTTAAATCTCCTAAGTCTTGGCAGCATAAAAAATACCTGTCGCGTCTGGCACTAGCCTTCTCCGGGTGGCCTCTTGGTGATTTATCAGATATATCACCATGCAGTGCCCTCCATCCTGCAAACCTTCTGACAGACACATCTGGTGGCTTTCTAGGGGAGATATATATCTTCCTCGGAGTCTTACAGACACAAAATTTATTTTTCCTTCATTTAATTGTGACCGCCCGAACCTACACCATGGTAGGAACTTGGCAACCAGAAAGGCGTTATCTGAGGGGCAGATCCAAGATTAGGAAGGAAGAACTGAACAGTGCCATTTGGTTCGGTTTAGAACTATGATTCAGCTAGTCAAAATTCTAATTTCAAGAAGGGACCATATGGGTGTGATTTTTTTTCTTCAGAAATCGAAAAGGGGGGGGGGGTCAGGACCCCTCTGACACCCCCAAAATCCGCCCTTGCGTTACACCTTAGGTGACACCTCTATAGAGCAGAGGAATCATCTGTGGTTTATGCTGGTCGGAGCCTGGTTACGCGAGCAATAACAGTGAATCACTTTTTTACGAACGGTTCCTCCATGTGACATAGCCTACACGAGGCATATTGTTCACATAGGGACCTTTCCCAGAGGCTATCGTACTAACTGTGAATCGATCTATCTCAGAGGGGATTCTCGCTAAATTGTAATAAACTTAAGCGGCTTAGATGTCTGTCACGCCTACTGGAGCTGTAGGCCTACGCCCCCGACCCCCCCAAAAAAAGAAAAAAAAAACCCACAATATTCGAAAAGTTAGTAGTGAGAAAATAAGAGAACAATTGTTAAGTACTGCTGCTTTGTAAATTAGAACATTCATGTAGGCTACTTGTACTAGCTATATGCGAGATTTCATGTCAAATTTCGTGTGCAGCTACAATTAATTACGTGTACTGTATACCGTACACCTCTTCCATGTCATTTTAAGAAACAGTGGTTATGGTGCACAGAGTGCACACACTGTTTATTTATTTATTTATTTATTTATTTATTTATTTATTTATTTGTGTTTCACAATTTGTTTAAGCCAAAAATAAATGAAGCACCATTGGTTATTCTTCAGGCATCGTTCGGTTCGTTTTATTATTGAATAATAAAAAAGCGCCAGTATTTGAGCGATAAATCGTCGCCTTTATCGCAAACTTCGTAGAGATATGAAATTTTAGAATTTACGCTGTCTTTGGGTGCATAAATCAACTTTAGTCTGACTAATCAAGATTGATAAGTTGGTTTACGAGTGCCAATTTTATAAAAACAGAGTCAGTAGACGAATTTATTATTTTTTTCAAATATGTTTACTGAGCAGAGCAACTGATTTTTATGGAAAGTCGGGTTTTTGAAACTTTTTTAATTAAAGGGGGGGGGGGGGGGCTCAAATCCAAAGTGTAGGCTACTACAAATTATAAAAACATCATCATTTAGGGTTTTCCATTTGAAAAAGAAAGATTTCCTCTTTAGGGTAGGTTTCGCTACCGGTTTTATAAAGACATTTTCTTTCCTGATATCGATGAGGGAGTGTAGTGTCGCCGGTAATATGATAATTGCATAGAAGTAGAGACTTTCTACATACATGTATGTATGTATGTATGTATCGATAGATATAAACTCTGTATGACAATCTACCAAAGAGGAATTCCCGACGTGAAAATAAACGGGGGCGTCTCGATAGTCCGAAGGTTCATTGGTCCGAAGGTTCATTGGTCCGAAAAGTGGTAACATTTTTATCGATTTTTTAATCAAGAGTTCATTGGTCCGAAGGTTCTATAGTGAACATTCGGACCAATGAACCTTCGGACTATTGAACCTTCGGACTATCGCTACGGCCCCAAATAAACGGGCGTGCATGAATGACGTCTCATGCGCTCACATAGTTGCGCTGACGGACTAACAACTTAAACAACAACAATCTACACGCAATATTTGGCAAAATAGGCCTATGTATTGGTAACGTATGTATCATGTGAATAATTTTTACAAATCATTTGAAGACAACTTGCCTCTTTTGTCCTGTTTCTTTTTTATTGTAACATAATGTGCAACAATCGCATTCTAGGCCCCTACATGAAATTTGGTAAAGTAGGCTTGTATCGACAACGTATGTATCGATACTACGTAGATTGTAATTTGTTTTGGAGAGCTAGCTTTTTTGTACAGTTTAAAACTATAGGCTGATTTAGTCAAAATTCTAATTTCAAGAGGGGTGCGGTATATTTTTCAGAAACCGAAGGGGGTGGGGGTCAGGATCCCCTTGACCCCCCGCTTTAAATCCACCACTGTTGGTCTAGCGTAGTCTATTAATTATTATTTTGTTTTTCTCTACGTCTATGATTATTAGGACTGTTTTTGGCTTCTCCGGCGATGTACAACGGGCGCCTACCGAGTTGCGGGGTGATGGAATTTCAACCAATCAGACTTTGAATTTAGTTGACGTCGTCTGCTTCCGGCTTGGCGCCACCATTAACTTTCCATGTGTGTATTTTTGTTGCCAAAATCAAGGTGCTGCAGGCCCCTGTTGCAGGCATTTAAAAACCTTTTGCCCTAACCATCATTTGCCTTAACCAATGGCTGCATCAGTGACTGAGTAAGTGTCGAATTAATTGCCATTATCTGAATCAACTCAGAGTTCATCTCTTGCACTTGTAAAATGTACGGATATTTGTTTAAAAAAAAAAAAAAAACTAAGATGTTTACTTTTTTCATATGGGGGTTTTGCACCACGTTCATTTTTTCTCCTGAAAAAAATCAATTTTCACTTACTTGCAAATCATTGCTCGATCCTTTCCTTTTTGTGATTTGATGTTTTGCAATAAATACTTCGTCCAAACGCAGTGATCCCCCCCCCCCCCCCAAACATCACGCCTTGATCAAGCTACCCAGACAATCACCAAAATCACAATATCACCTGAAAACCATGCCACAACATGTAGACGAATCCCTGAAATATAATATTTAATCATCTGGCATGTGGCTCAAATCAGAAAAATTGGGCAGTGTGTCAAATATTAGAAATAATGAAAAACCTTGCTCCAGAGTTTTTTTTCTTTTCTTTTAGGCTTTTTCATGCTATAACTTCCAAGTTTAACATCAAGCTTGGTAGGATCGACAATTCCAAAGGACTGGAATTTTTGCTACATAAAGCTGCAGGAGAGGGACACAAGAAGTTGCTTGTCAAAGTATTAGAGAAAGGTACATTATTTTCTTTCTAACAGGGAAAAAATACTACATCATTAGGAGATAGTTTGAAATATAAGTTGCGGTGTTCTTGCTGTAGTTTTATAGTTTTATCAGGAAATGGAATCTGATATTTTAACTTTGTTGATGTACAAAATATCTACCTCCATAGTTTATTTTTTTAGATATGATACTTGGATTTCATGAATATGTTATAGGAATATCAGTGGATTTCCAAAATGACAAAAACCAGACTCCATTGTTTTGTGCAGTCTTACAAGAAAGAAAAAATGTGATTGATACATTACTGGAACATGGAGCAAACCCAAATGAGTAAGTATTTTTAAATATTTTTGTCAACAAAAATTTGATATATTCTTAAGGAGAAATTTCATGTAATTTTTGTATCTGAAACTGTCATCATTTTAAGCAAAACTGACCTATAAACCACCTCTGATAGATCTATATTCTGATAGATATATCTTGCTGATAGATCTATATTACAGTACACAGCAAATTACTCAGTAAATGCAAACCAATGTATCCCGTAATTGCTGGATCCTTTGTATAGCTTCAAATAACAGGGCATAACAAAAATAACTAACTGAAAAATAACCCTTTTTTTCATGATATCTCGGATCCCTTTCATTCAGTCTTTATTTTCTCAACAAATTTGTGTCAGGTATGACTTGACATTATTTGGCAAAATTTCAATTAAATTATTTACTTAGCTATATGTATATCTTGCCAAGTACCCCTGTAAGACAGCTGATTGTTAATAGGATTTAAATCTTTTAAATGCAATAAAGGTATGGGGTATAGACATTTCTGGATGTTTATTACATCATATCTTAGATGACTTCATTGATATGATTCAAATTACATCACACAGTCTAATGATAATAACACATTTAAAGTAACAATATTTATCAACAACAACCCAGTCAAATTCACAATTATATGTATCCTGAAGATGAGTCTTAATATAAGACAAAAATTGATAATTAAATAAAGATATCATCTAACAGCACTTTAGGGTTTTTAAGGTGCTGGTTTGTGACTAATGAAGTTGTTGAAGATCAAAAGGGGAGGGGTAGTGTTAATACTTCATTTTTATTGGTTGTTATGTTCTGTAATTTATTACATAACTGAAAGAATGCAAGTCTTACAATTATTGGTTTATTATTTTGTTATTATTATCTCTTTTCAGGCGTTGTGATAATTTTTGCTGCACCCCGGTTCACCTCGCTTGTAGAATTGGTTGTGTTGAAATATTGGAGAAGTTGTTAAGTGCAGGGGGTGACTTGCGTCTTCATGACATTGATGGAGAAACACCACAGGATTGGGCAATGAACATAGATGATCCTAAAAGACGAAAGAAAATGCTCGATTTTATAGAGAAAACACGACTGTTTGCAATGACCCACTCTGGAAGGGATATATTATTAGAAAATCAGTCAAGTCATTACATGAACAGGTATGACAGTGCAAGTAGAAATTTGCATTTAATAATTTCTTTATTTCTAAAATGAAAAGCTGGTGAATTATGATTTGGCAAGCCTCCTTTGAAAAAATACAGATTTTTCCTTTTAAAACTTTATATTTAAACAGTGGAAATATTTAAATATCATTTTTTTTCCTTCCAATAATTTGTTCCTCATTACATGTATTTTGATATTTTATGACTTTTGTTGCAATGTTTTCTTTATTTATTTTATGGTTGTTTATCTTATTTTTATGTTTTAACATTGTTAAAACAATTTGTTGTGGTAGGTACTTTGTTTATCAAGCCTTAATATTTAAACAGAACAATTCTTTTTGTCCTCTTTCTTTACTTTCAATGTTACTTACATGATTTGTTTTTATTTATCTGTTAGACTGGTTCCATTTTATTTCAAGATCATAATGAATTTTCTGTTGTTTATGGTAAGTATAAAATCTTCCTAAGTACATGCACTGTAGTTGCCAAAAATAATATGAAGTTGAATAAGTTGAATGCTCGATGTGGTCCTTATTTTCTGATTGCTACCCTTATGCACTTCCCAATGAAAGTAGTTTATGTATCAGAACCAATACAAAATTGGTCACCCATAATCAAGTTCCAATTTGTTTCCTCTTTCCCCTTTTTTCCATAGAAACTCAGCATTAAGAATATGACATAACAGTTGTAGGGCAGACATTTTCTTTATTATGATGAAATAATCCCAGCTGGATATGGGGTCTTAACTGTCATTTACTGGACTTAAATAGTTTCAATTTGGAGTGTTGACAGCCCTTATAGAGTGGCACTTGCACAGCAAAGAAATGTATTAGTCCTGTTGTGATCCAGTCTACTTGTAAATCCTTTTCAAATATTGTCATTTGAATGGAGAGGCATTTCAGTCTCTTAGACTTTTACCATGTCAGTGAACCTTTCAGGCCTTCAAAGCAAGGGTCTTTTGCACACTTGTTCCGTAAAGTTAGCAGTCATGGAAGTGTAAGTTCCAGCTCAGACCTGAGTAGAAGTGTCCAGAGTCTTGGATTTGGAAAGGTAAGTTAGTACAGGATATTACTGGTCAGAGGTCATCTCTCGTAACTTGTGTTTGTTCACCTTGCCATATCTATGGCTAAGGTTAGAAAGGCATTAGGTTGAATATTGGAATTCCATTTCAAACAATTTAATGCATAATTCACTCAAATTCATCACAATGTCATGCCCTTAATTTATGATTTTTTATTATCTTTAATTATTTTTTGATCATCTCTGTGCATTCCCTTCAGGGACAGTAAGCATCAATGTATGCAAAAACATTTGCATTGTATATTGATTTACATAATATTGGAGGCTCCATAAGGAAAGTGTGTGGATTTGTTTTGACAGTTCACGCATGACTCGGCGCAGCAACAATGAAAACCAAATAGAAAAATATTGCACTGAAAGTGACAATATCTATGTTTTGATTCAGTGCACCTCTGGAAAGTATACACTGTGTGCGCAAGCCCGAAGTGATTGCCTTTTGAGAAGTGTGAATATCAAATGCCGAAACATACATAAGCTAATGATATGGAAATCAAACAGTAGGCTGACTGTAGTGTCGGGAGGCAGTGACTAGACCTTTTGGAGTATCTTGTGCTATTTCAGATATACTTTGGTAGTAGTGGGCGACAGGCGGGCACGATGACCACCATACCCTTGGTGACAGAAAATTCTTTGCATCATGATGATCATGGATTAACATATGACAATGGGGCTTTCATGGTGATGGAAAGGTATGGGCAATTTGTGTTTGTTAAGGCTCTTGATAACTTACCTTTTTAAGCTGGTTGATTAACCAAATTCATACACTGTGCTTAAAAGATTTAATGCTTGATTTTGAAAAAAAAAAGGCGCATTTATTATGCATGATCCTACAGTATGTAATGGCAGTAAAATTGCTATTGATTAGGTAACCAATACTATTAATTATATTCAAAGAAGAAAAACTATTGAATGAATAATGACCATTATTGTAAGGAAGAAAGAACATTTTTAGGCTTTGTATATTAGTAAAACTTTGATTATGATTATTAAAATTAATGTAAGATAGAATAAAATTCATATTAGCACAGTTATTGCAATATGGCCAAGGTGTACTTTTTGTTGTGTCCAAACCTTGTTATTAGCACTTTTCCATTTGAATTTAAAAATAACAGCTGGTTTGCACTGCTATGGTTAGGATGGTGAGTGTGAGAAAAGTAATTGACAGTGATGCACATTTTCCAAAGCGTTTTATTGATACCAAAGTGTGACAAAGGTTTCAGATAGGTGCCGACAAGAAAAAAAAGGGGGGAAGTACATGATGCTCTAAATACAGAGGATGTGGTGTCTGCTGAGCATTGATGTCTTCTCTAGCAGAAAATGCCGTGCCCAAAACATGTCATAATTCATTACTGATCAAAGGGGTTTACAGGTAGCATGGGCTGCGGCTGTCACTATCTGAATGTGTGCAATCAGACATCTGCTTGGAAAGTATCGCATTTCACTCCTCATGCACTGCACTTGGGGACTTTGATTTCTTTAACCAAAGTTTTACTCGTCTGTTTAGGTCATGATCATAAGGAAATTTTGAATTAAAGGTCTGTCTGTGGTTTTATATATTTTAAGTCAGAAAGAGCATATATGTTTTTGTCTGATCTGTATAATTATGTTTCTTATCCATCTTTGCTTCCAGCATGCTATGGAATAAAGTTACTAAAGTCACAGTGAAACGTCTTCATAAAGATCCACCTAAAGGAGGAGAAGTTGATCTCCTAATCAATGAAAATGAATGTATAGGGTAAGGAAAGTGTGAAGTAGACATCTTTCTTCATTTTGCTCTCTGGTGAAATATATTGACTATATTTGCTGTTATGTTACTCCACAAATTACTTTCTCTGTCCTGTAGAGTGGCTAACAATGGGCCCCATTATTAGGAAAGTACAACATTGTTTATTTAATTGAACAGCACGCACAGTGGTGGAAGCATGTATTGAGTATTTTGAATAGTATATGTCGCATTAACACCACTACCCATAGCACTCCCCACAACTTGGGGCACATGCAGTTGGCAAGCTTAGAGTGCATCACAGATTTTTGTCATTAGAGATCTATAATAATATGGACCCAAGATTGCTGATAGAAAATTCTATTTTTGCAGTGTGATAGAGGGATATAACTGTAGAAATTTTAATTGGAAGGCTCTCATTAAAGAAATGTACAAATAGAACATTTTATTTTTAGATTCACCTTTACAACTTAAGCCATCATGAACAGGATTTTTAGCATGAAATAATTTAGCATGATCATCAATTTTTGATGGGATTCTGAGCAATATTCTAGTATTATACCAATCAGGCCCTTAGGCAGTGGAGATAAGAAAGAACCACCCTTTTGTTCAGAAAAGTTATCTCTGAATCAATATATAATGTAGGTTCTAAGTATAATTTCTCAAGTTGGGGCAACTAAGGATATAAAGTCCATTTTCTTTCAGAGAGAGAGACCCCCCCCCCCCCTTTGAAATTGCAGATTTAGGCCTGCTAATTAACTAAAAGTATCCAATATGCAATTCAAGGCCATATTTTTCTTCATAAGTTTACATCCATTTCTTGCATTTTCACATGACACTTTCTTGCTATTTTTAGGCATGGGCTAGGTCATAATTTTCCTACTTTAAAGTATTTTTAAAAGGGATGCAACATGCTTTGGGACACATACATGCAGGGTTTGATGATTGAAGATTATATGGCTATCATGTATGCTGTCCCTTCATTTTAAAGCAAAGTTCCCAATTCACTGAACCGTCAAATGTAGCCTCTCCAGAATGCACCCTTCCAGTCTCTGCAGTGGTTATGTGTAAATGCTTTAGAGTCCTTTATTTGCATTTGAGGCAAACCCATTTAAAAGAAGGGATCTCATTACCCAACTTTTGTCAATATTTGAAACCTTGGGCTAAGTTTTGAAGAAGAAACTACGTAAGCAGTATGAAAAGCCTAGATCTGTTTTTAATAGCACAAGGGACCTATTTATCAAAGAATTGATAGCCATAATATGTAATAATAAAGTGATAGCTGTTATATGATGCTACATACTTACTTCTATTCACATGTACTGTGACTGTTTATAAATAGAGAATGTGATTCCTATATATACTGTACCTGATGCAAATCCTTTTTTACCAACAATTATCTTTCCACTTACTGATCGGCATATTTAAATGTTTTAACTTCCAGTCAATATTTGCTGTAATTTATCTTTATTGTAGTCGTTCATCAACTAAAGTAAGCCATCGCAGTTATCTTAGAAAACCTATGTTGCCTGTTTTATATAAAATTGTACATTGTTTGAACCATTCTCTTAGTCCAGTAATCAAGACGTCTTCAATAAAGAGAGTAGTAACCATAAATTAATGCTGTGAGATGAACATATACGTGTAATAGTTGGATATTCTTTGATATGTGACAGGTGAAGGGAATGTACACAATTGCTACTTTATGTGGGTATTTCTAATTGCAGAAATTACCTTACATTTATTTCAGGCAGCTAAGACACCCAAATATACTTCTTCTGATGGGGATTTGCCAGACAGAAAATTTGAATGGAATAGTTTTACTCTACGAAAGAATCAACTTTGGATCCCTTTATCATTATATGCATGAACGAGTAAGTACTGAATAGTGATGACATTTGATACCTCTTAATTATCTTTGTTGAGGATTGTTTATGGACCCCATCATTTTCTTGCATCATTTTTTGAAGTTCAGAATAGAAATGGGTCAGAATGCAATCATAATATATCATAAATGGAACTCTGTGGGAACAAATGATATATAGTAGTTATACAAAATTAGTTGATGCCATGGAACAGCTAGTTTAAAGCATGCCCCACTAATGAACATGTGCTACTGTGTTTGCCAAAACCAGTATTTAAAAAAGAATCTCATTTCATGGATTTAGAGCATGACTATACAGATTATCATGTTTGCCTTAATGAAGTATCCTACATGTAAATACTCGTCAATGCTCTACCCTTGACAGTGGAAATTCTCCATTTTGTTAATCTGTGAAGTTACTTGAGGACCGAAATTATTGTGCAATTTTTTGCCTTTTACATACACATCAGATTAATGGTATCTTTGATGAACATTATTTTGCAGACCTACAGTTTTCTATGCCAGTTCCTTTATCTGGTTTAGTAAAAATTACACATACAGTGTGTCCTGGTTGAGCATTTCTGGGTTATGCAAAAGTAAAAGGGCAGTGTGTTTGATTTTGTAAAGAGACATGAACCCAAATGATCATATAAGGACAATTTCTTTTTTTGAAAGGTGAAAAGAGAATAAAATGTTGATATTTTTTAGAATTAACTGAATTGCTACAAATAGTTCTTTTCATTCTTTTTTCTCCTTACAACATTTATTTTCTAAACAGAGAGCTTATGTATATTGCTTTTTTTCAAGTCAAAGGTAGAATTAAAGTTTTCAAAACCATTTTAATGTTTTATGATTGACAACTGTCCAACCAATTCTTTCTTAGTCTTTCCAAGAACAAAATTTCAAAATAATATAGGCTGAACTGAAGGTCTTTATTTAGGACGTTTTACATTTTGACATGTTGACCCCACAGAAGATTTAGATTATACTGGTTTAATTTCAAAAGAAGGTTTATACAATGGTTGAGGCCATATGTGGATCTCATTTTATGCATTGACTAATGCCAATGAAACCAATAAATGTAATTGGTCTTTGTGACGGCATTTAATTTTAAAATCCCATCTTCTGGCTCTCTGTCATAGAAATTTTGCCTTTTAGCTGCTCACAGAGGTATAGAAAAGAAGGGCTTTTTATTTGATATATGATACCCACCTATTAGATTTCTTGTGGTATAATGTACACATTTAGTTGACTTAGTTGATGAAGGGGGTTGGCTTGTTGATTTTGATCACCTTTAGTGGTCAGGTTAAGCAGCAAATGTTTTCTTAAGTTATTTATACTTATATATTGCACGCCAGCATTTCCTGTGCCATGTGATATTTAACTTTGGGGCACCCTTATGTTATGTTTTTCATTTATTTGTTACAAATTTGAGGCAATTTTTCATTTCCAATTCTTTTGAATTTTTAAAATGCTGTTGAGATTCTGAATCTGTAAAATGTGCTTGCAGACATGCCATTTGTAAGTTCTAACAATTATAAGCAAATATTGAGTCTAATATTAAAGCTTTGAAGTCTTTTTCCCTATGATGATTTAAAATTTACAACATCTTTGTTTATTGAAATTGTTGAATATAAAATTCATTAGCAAGTTAAGTGATGCACATTGTTACATATTTTCAGACCGAACATCTTTCTCATCACGGAGCTTTGGAAATTCTGACCCAGATTTGTGATGCCATAATGTACATCCACCAGCAAAATTTCTTACACTGCTCTCTGACATCACATGCTATACAGCTGGTTAGCTCTCATCTTGCCAAACTTGGAAATTTCGATTACATGGTTGAACAGTAAGTAAATATGTGCTGTAAAAAATTGAAGCGGTATGGTAAAATTTTGTTTATATAATTGGTATGTATGGCAATATGTTTTTTATTATTATAATATTTTTGTTATATGGGAATCTGGAAGGTGGGATACAAATTATTGAGCCATTACAAGATAACTAGTCTAGGTAAACATATCTCCTTTGTGAAAAAGAGTGAATGTTTGTATAGATACATTGTGTAGTACTAGATCTTCAATTATTAGATTTACAGGGTGAATGCATACCATACCAGGTCAAGTACCCTTGAATTATACTACCCAAAATGTGACCAATTTGATTCTTCAGGTGTGATGAACCATATTACCAGAAGAAAAGCCATGTTGTGGAGAACATCTATCCCAATGCAGTTTACAATTGGATGGCTCCAGAGTTGATGAAAGGGGAGCCTCCTAGTGAACAGTCGGATATGTACAGCTTTTGTGCGGTCATGTGGGAAGTGTTTATGGGTAGGGTATTTTGCTGGAGCATGCTTGTTAAATCAGTCATGAGGTCTTTTTCACGCAACTTGTATAAGGGTCGTTAATGGTCAGTGGGTGATGAAATGAAACAACCCTTTTTGAATGAGAAAAGATCGATTCTGCATGCTTTTCCAAGTTTGAGGATGTCTTCATCAATTTTACATCAACATATAGAGCAATCAATGTACAAAAAGGGACAAATTACTGCACATCCTACAATGAATTACATGTAGAACACGGACATTTTTCTATGCTAGAAAGTTTGCAAAACTATTTTTCTGTTTTCCTCTATACTAAGAGAACAGACATTTTTGTGGACAAGTTATTACTGAAAAATTTATTTACATAATACTGCTTAGTTGTTTTTAACAGACCTTTTGCCCAAGGAAGTGGCAAAAGTAAACACCACACTCCTTAACCTTTACATTAAACTACTGGCATTATAGGTTTATTGACAAATCATTTCACCTTGTTATTATTGTCACCCCCCAGTCTTTCATGGATCTCTGAAGGTAACCTGTAGATACTTCCAGTCACACACCCAAAGACTTATATTGATTTTAGATTTTACATAATGAATGATACAATTACGACTGTGACCAGAGCATTGTGACTTAATTCAATGAGCCATGCCTTCAATAACCTGTGTCTAGGGCTCTCCATTTTTCTGCCTCATGTAGCCTGCATATTCGGTTAGTTTCAAGGTGAGCAGGGTTGCCTATGTTACAGTACTCAAAATGTGTAGATCTACTGTTAAACATGCTATTATCAGTACAATTACAACTGAAAACTGAGAATTGATTCTGGAAAATCTGTATAATGCATATATATCTCAGAAATAGAAAGTATTGGAATATCCATCTTCATGTTATTCATTGATTGTGATTTCTTTTCAATTGCAGGGATACTTCCATGGGGATCGTCTGATGCAGAACACATAAAAAGAGAAGTCCTTGAAAATAGAAATAGCTTGCCTCTGTATGTTGACAAACTCTCACAGCCCTTTGACTCAATCTTAGAAGGGGGCTTGCAGTTAGAGCCCAGTGACAGAAGACTTGCATTTGAAGGCAATGAAAGAAGACTTACCTTTGAAGTTATGAGGGATTTACTTTCCACAGTTCCACAGGTACATCTGTGCATTGTAGGAGCAAATATAATGGGCTGTCAGATTTAATTTTACACCTGTGGTTGCTTTCACAATAGAATTAAAGATCAAAAGTTGGTCTTTCATGTACTGTAGCTGAGAAATTCTGCTCTAATTTCAGGGTATATTCATGGTAGTTCCATTGGATAAATAAAATATCCATTTCTTTTTTATGAAGCAGAGGCAATTTTCCATTTAATAAGTGGATTAAAACTCATTTGTCTTTGGTCAAAATAAACAAAATATTTTATTTTTAAGTTAAGACTAACTTTTGTGAGAAGCTTTATTATGAAACTGACCTCAGTAAATGTAACACTTCCAATATAGTGTGAATCTTATAATGCTTTTTGAATTGCCATTTCACTAAATCTCTATAAATCAATCAATATGATGTTGAAACTTTTCATAATTTATTTTCTTTTTGTCTCAGATGAGGAGGGCAAATGTTCCAAATATTCCAAACAAAGTAGTTCCCCAAAGGATAAAGACTAAAAACCAACATATGGATGTCAGTACAAGTGAAGATGATGCTCCTGCTGCTCGTCATCAACAAAGGATGCGAAAAACTCCATCTCCACCAAGACACAGGTATGTGTTTGCTGTAGTGTGTGTACACATGTATATGAACCCCTCAACACATCTATTCAGTTAACATCTATTTAGTTATCTATTCAGTGAAGATATGTTTTAATGAAATGTGTTCATAGTTTCCAATAATTTATTTCTGTTAAAAGTTTTTCTGTTTTGAAAAAAATTCTTCTGTCTTTCAAAACTGAAAAACAGTATAGAGATTGAAATTGTAAAACAGCATGTAGGAACACTGGTGGGTGGAATGTTAAAAGCTTGATTGTGACCTGTTGCGGAGGAAAATATGTTAGTTGTGCAAATACAGCAAGGGTCTAGATAGCTGGTCACTATACAGTGTGTGTGTATATATATATATGGAGCTTNATATATATATATATATATATATATATATATATATATATATATATATATATATATATATATATGGAGCTTTTATTGCTTTCATTTTACAGGAGGGGTGCACCAAAAGTAGAAGCAGTGAATGCCCGCCTTATAAATGAAGATGATAGGTAAATGACAGTTGTGTATTTGTTTAATACTCATTGGAATAGCATGAGTATAATTAGGCCAAGTTACAATTAACCAAATGTTGTGAGCAGTTATAGTACAGTTGTTTTATCCAAGTAAATATATTTATTAGAGAATTGGGTGAAGTTGGTTTAGTATAATTGCAGAGAGATCCTAAATGGAATAAAAATGCATATTCAGAGGCATAGCCATATTCAGAGGCATAGCCATTGGCTTATTTTGTCAAATTTAAACATGGATTTGTATGCAATACTTAATTATCTAGCATAGGTTTTAAGTAAACATTTTAAGTCAAGTTATAAGTCTATCACAAATTGAAGTATTTTATTATTGAAAATTTGAATTTTTTCAAATCAGTTTTTCCATATGTGGATGTAGGAACAGGTACTCTCCAGTTTCAATCATTGTGTTACAGTGTGTTTGAAGAAAATGGCAATAAGCTGGAAACCCGCCAGACCAGAGAAGAATATGAATTTATCCAAAATGAAAAGAAAAGGGCATTTTTTGAAGGAAGACAACAGCAACAGTCCACAAGTGTGAGGTCGAAAAGTGAGCCAGATGAAGGAACAAGGTACAGATTGATACAAAACCACCAGCCAAGGGAAAGGACACAGTCACAAAAGCCTCCATCCCCAACTGCTGTAACTTCACCAAGGTCTGTATAATTGTCAGAAGTCACAGTTGGCTTTTATTGACATTGAGTATAATTATATTATTGTGAATGGATTCTTAAAAATTCCTATATAATTTGTATTACATAATTTCATAACTTAAGTTGGATGCGGCAGTTTTCCCTTTCAATCTTCTTAGATTCATTTCACAAAAATGGAAAAATAAGTGATAAAAATTACATGCACTACACCTTTAGTAGCAGCAGAAGGCAAACATGTATGAATAACAAATCTTTATCCTATTAGTGTCCTTTTCATTGCCTATAAATTTTAACTTTGCCTTTCAAATGCCTTTTCAGGGACAACAAGGCTGAAAAAAGATTAACAAAAGATGTATACACAGATCTATCAGCTGTTCCTACCAGACCTAGCAGAATCAGGGATAACCCTTTCACTAAACCTCCTCCTGCCCCACGCAATACCAATGGAAACAATTCTGTTTCTAACAGGTATACATCTAGTTCTATTGAAATCAATCGTACAATGCAGTTAGAAATTTAAAATAAAGTAATTTAAACCAGGAAAGTACAACAAGAAAAATGTACAATTTTTTCTTGTAAAATTTTGGTTATTTAAAAGAAGAAGAGAATTCCACTGCAAATGTAACCACATTTCATATTATAAATCATTCTGTTAAAGACAGTTATTAATATATGAATTTATCCAAAATCTGTGATTTCTTGATTTTATATTTCCAAATTCATGTTTAAATTTCACAACACAGCACATGAAATAATGTGTTATGTAAGACAGTCAACCCAGTTATTCAAGTTTTTTTGATTTATATTATTGTTTGCTCATCACTTTTTCTAGTGATCAGACCTACAGAGCCAGGCCATATTCCAGGAGCATCAGTGCTGACACCTCTGCAAAAGTTAACGGTAAAACTAGTCCAGTGGAAGATCATCCTTTGAACACGTCATTGCAGTCTACAAAATCTTTTACAAGTCAGACATCTCGGTGAGCTTAATTATTTTGCAAACTGTTCTTGTCTTTCCAGTCACTTCATAATTTTAGATTTCATCACGAATTATATCAAAAACTCATTATAATGCCATTTTTGATACATCTGTGGCAATAATTACCCGAAGCAAATTATCAGGCCTGTGCAAATTTGCTGTAAACTGCAATTCCTTCTTGCAAATTAGCAGCAATAAAATTTTTCTTGCAAACTTGTTGCTGCAAACTATTAATTTGCAGCAATATTGCTGCAAGCTTTTCATTTTGTTTAGGGTTCGCCAATTTTGTTTAAATTCCAGTCCTTGTTACCTTACTGATTTTAGAATTATTACCCCTACATCACCTTACGGTAGAATAAACAAATGTTCTAAAGAAATAATAATTCTGTCTATTTATCTGAATTTTCATCACATTTCTTATCCATCTAGTCCTGAAGACTAAGGCTTAATCTGAATGATATTGATATTTTTTTCAGAAAATCTGGTGCCATGTCTCCACGCTCTAATAAAAGCTGGTTGAATAATTCACATAATGAGTCCCTGTCATTCAAGCCTGCCAATCATAGGATTTCGTATGCACCAGAACAAGAGCCTGGTATGTAATATTAGGGACCATTCCCAGACCCTACCATACTAACTGGATTGATCTCCAAGGGGAATCTCACTAAATTGCAATCAACTTAAGCTGCTCAGATGTCTGTCACACCTATTGAAGCTGCTAGGGGGTAATTAATTATTGTTTAGCAGCTTCAGTAGGCATGCCAGACATCTAAGCCGCTTATGCTGAAAGCAATTTAGTGAGAAATCCCTAGGAGATTGATCGATCCTGTTAGATCGATCTAGGTATGGGAACCCAGTCTTACACTAAATACTTGACACACTATTCTTAATTTTTGGAAGTGCCTAGTGTGTGTTGTATTTTATGTATATCATTGAATGACTTAAACAAGATGACAGCATGATGATAACCTAACATTACCAGCATTGAGTAATTCAGTGGTCAATGCTTGCCACATGTACTAAGAAACAGATGTGCAAATTTGGTGCTGGACAAGTTTTGAAAAATTGGGAGGGGGTGGTTAAGATTTTTTGTCCAAACATAATGGTAGAAATTAGATTAATTATCTGTATCTGTAGATTTCATATTTGGATATCTAAATGTTCATTTGAACTAGTTTATGAGATCTAGATTAATTGAGTTACCAGAAGTGACATCTACCTTCCATTTGTCATGCCTCTAGGGACCAGTACCAGTAAAGGAGACATTGGAAGATACATGGGTAGCAATTCAGATATTGTCAATAACAGACCATCTCTGAACAGAAGTTCAAGTGTCGACTCTCAAATGGGTGGAATTAAACGATTCAGGTATATGTCAAAATACAGGTCTTTAATATGGATGGCATTTAATTTATAGTCATTTCCTGGGTAATTTTATTTTAATAAAAATGCTGAATGGAATCAGGATCAACTTGGCAATGTATCATACTTCATTACACCGTTGCTTTAATTATAAAATGTTAAACCTTGAATAAAATTTACTGGTTTGGAGTGAGGCCCAAAAAAAACTTTGCATATAGGTTACAGAAAAAGAGTATAGCAAGATGCTGCTTGAAGTACTAAAATAATTACTCCTTTTTATAATTTTTTTCTTTACAGAACGATGGCCATATATAGAATCATCAGCATATTCTTTATAGAAATATTTTTTCCCATGTTTATGTACCTGTATTTTCTAAATTGTTACATTTACAGATCAGAAACCTTTTTGAATCTGTGTGGTGCTAGTTACAATGACAGAAGGCCTAAAACAGTCACCAGCAATTACAAATCTACAGAGAACCTACCCGCCAGCAGTTCGTCATCAGTAAGCAGTGTGCGCCAAATGCATGAAAACAACCCAGTGGTGACCAGTCCTTACAGTAGGAGAACTAGAAATCAGTGGTTCGCTGGCAAAGGAAGCATAAAAGGGCTCATAAGTACCTTTGAGGAACATGAGGACGAGCAAGGCCATGATAAACAACCAGACACCCAAAACAGACGTGCATTTGAAAGACAGACATCACTTCCAGAAAAGGTAAAATGTGTGCTTCACTGTGACATGCTTAGGTTACTGTGGAGAAGTGTGGAGAAAAAATAATATTGCTCTTAGAAAAACGCATTCTCTTATAGATTTTGGAGAAAAAAAAGATTCACTGATTAATCTTTTTCCTGAAAGTTTTTTTTTTCTTTTTTTTTTTTTTTTTTTGGGANTTGTTTCAAATCAGTTTTTCCATATGTGGATGTAGGAACAGGAACTCTCCAGTTTCAATCATTGTGTTACAGTGTGTTTGAAGAAAATGGCAATAAGCTGGAAACCCGCCAGACCAGAGAAGAATATGAATTTATCCAAAATGAAAAGAAAAGGGCATTTTTTGAAGGAAGACAACAGCAACAGTCCACAAGTGTGAGGTCGAAAAGTGAGCCAGATGAAGGAACAAGGTACAGATTGATACAAAACCACCAGCCAAGGGAAAGGACACAGTCACAAAAGCCTCCATCCCCAACTGCTGTAACTTCACCAAGGTCTGTATAATTGTCAGAAGTCACAGTTGGCTTTTATTGACATTGAAGATAATTATATTATTGTGAATGGATTCTTAAAAATTCCAGTATAATTTGTATTACATAATTTCATAACTTAAGTTGGATGCGGCAGTTTTCCCTTTCAATCTTCTTAGATTCATTTCACAAAAATGGAAAAATAAGTGATAAAAATTACATGCACTACACCTTTAGTAGCAGCAGAAGGAAAACATGTATGAATAACAAATCTTTATCCTATTAGTGTCCTTTTCATTGCCTATAAATTTTAACTTTGCCTTTCAAATGCCTTTTCAGGGACAACAAGGCTGAGAAAAGATTAACAAAAGATGTATACACAGATCTATCAGCTGTTCCTACCAGACCTAGCAGAATCAGGGATAACCCTTTCACTAAACCTCCTCCTGCCCCACGCAATACCAATGGAAACAATTCTGTTTCTAACAGGTAAACAACTAGCTCTATTGAAATCAATTGTAAAATACAGTTAGAAATAAAAAATTAAGCATTTTTAAACAGGGAAAGTACAACAAGAGAAGTGTACAATATTTTCTTGTAAAATTTTGTTATTCAAAAGAAGAATATATAGAATTCCACTACAATGTAACCCCATCTCATATTATTAATCATTCATGTTTAACTTTTACAACACAGCACATGCAATAATTTGTGCTGTAAGACAGTCAACCAAATTATACATGTTTTCTGATTTATTTTATTGTTTGCTCATTGCTTTCTAGTGATCAGACCTACAGAGCCAGGCCATATTCTAGAAGCATCAGTGCTGACACCTCTGCAAAAGTTAACGGTAAAACTAGTCCAGTGGAAGAACATCCTTTGAACACGTCATTGCAGTCTACAAAATCTGTTACAAGTCAGACATCTCGGTGAGCTTAATTATTTTGCAAACTGTTCTTGTCTTTCCAGTCACTTCATAATTTAAAATTTCATCACGAATTATATCAAAAAACTTGTTATAATGCCATTTTTGATACATCTATGGCAATAATTACCCTAGTAAGCAAAATATCAGGCCTGCTGCAAATTTGCAGCTATTTTGCTGCAATATGGCTGAAAATTAGCCACAAATTTTTTCTTGCAAACTTGTTGCTGCAAACTTTAAATTTACAGCAATATTGCTGCAATTTTGCTGCAAGCTTTTCATTTTGTGAAGGGTTAGCCAATTTTTTTTAAATTCCAGTCCTTGTTACCATACTGATAATAGAATTAATTGACTTATTATTACTCCTTCGTCACCTTAGGGTAGAATAAACACACATTCTAAAAAAATATAACAATTCAGTCTGTTTATATGAATTTTCATCAAAGGTACAAATCTCAAAAGCAGCACATTTTTATCCATCTGGTCCTGAAGACTTGAGACTTAATCTGAAGAGTAATAATTGATATTATCATAAATGAAAATGATCAAACACAAGCTAAAAAACTTTCATGCTGTTAGCTAGGTGTTTGATAATTTTCATTTATGATCCAACTATCCAGCTATTGAACATTTTTGCTCATTTATGGTATTGATATGTTTGGTTTTTTATTTTTTATTAGAAAATCTGGTGCCATGTCTCCACGCTCTAATAAAAGCTGGTTGAATAATTCGCATAATGAGTCCCTGTCATTCAAGCCTGCCAATCATAGGATTTCGTATGCACCAGAACAAGAGCCTGGTATGTAATGTTACACTAAATACTTGACGCACTATTCTTAATTTTCAGAAGTGTCTAGTGTATTTCACATTTATTATGGAATGACGTAAACAAAATGACAGCATGATAATAACCTAACGTTACCAGGATTGAGGAATTCAGTGGTCAATGTTAGCTGCATGTACAAAGATACTGAGTGATGTGTAAATTTGGTGCTGGAGAAGTTTTAAAAATTGGGAAGGGGTTGGCTTGGTAGTTAGGATTCCTTGTCCAAACAAATCAGTAGAAATAAGATTAATTATCTGTATCTATAGATTTTATCTTTGGATAACTAAATGTTTATTTGAACTGAAAGTTAAGGAACAGGCTGTGTTGCGGATCCCACACCAAACAAACAAACAACGGGAAATGTTCACACTTTATTTCACGCACACACTGACATGGACATGGTGAAACTAAAAATAACAAAATAATGAAAGATAAATACCAAACTAATTATACAAAATACACAAATATAACATAAATTGAATACGAATATAAAAAGAAATAATAAATTAATTATAAGAAACGGAAATGTTGTGCAAATAATTAACAATAGAATTGAATACAATACGTACAGAGAAATGTGGCTTTCCCGTCCAAATGTTGATCCACAAATTTTGCCTACTAAAACTTCAGACTCGGCGACCTGAGCCTTCGCTCATCAAATACAACGTGGCCGCGCCCAGAACTACTGCATACAGTATATATACAGAGTAAATGATTTGCATAATAATACAAAGCTGACTAATGATACGTTTGTAAACGCAAATTGTTGTCGTAAACGACAACAGGCTGAGATAAACATTGTAAGTGACATCTACCTTCCATTTGTCATGCCTGTAGGGACCAGTACCAGTAAAGGAGACATTGGAAGATACATGGGTAGCAATTCAGATATTGTCAATAACAGACCATCTCTGAACAGAAGTACAAGTGTAGATTCTCAAGTTGGTGGAATTAAACGATTCAGGTACGGTAAAAACTTGACGAAATTTTCAAGACCGATGAAGTTTTCAAGTTTTTAACGTATATGTCAGAATGCAGGTCTTTAATATCAGTCCCTGGCCTTGCTGATCATGGATGATATTTAATTTATAGTCAATTCCTGGTTAATTTTATTTTAATCAAAATGCTGATTAGGATCAACTTGGCAATGTATCATACTTCATTACACTGTTGCTTTAATTATAAGATGTTTAACCTTGGATGAAATTTACTGGTTTGGAGTGAGGACAAAAAAACTTTGCATATAGGTTACAGAAAAGAGTATAGTGAGATGCTGCTTGAGGCACTTAAATTATTGATTCTTTTCATATTTTTTCGTTACAAAAAGATGCTCATATATAAAATCATCAGCATATTCTTTATAGAAATGTTTTCCCCATGTTTGTGTACCTGTATTTTCTAACTGTTATATTTACAGATCAGAAACCTTTTTGAATCTGTGTGGTGCTAGTTACAACGACAGAAGGCCTAAAACAGTCACCAGCAATTACAAATCTACAGAGAACCTACCCGCCAGCAGTTCGTCATCAGTAAGCAGTGTGCGCCAAATGCATGACAACAACCCAGTGGTGACCAGTCCTTACAGTAGGAGAACTAGAAATCAGTGGTTCGCTGGCAAAGGAAGCATAAAAGGACTCATAAGTACCTTTGAGGAACATGAGGACGAGCAAGGCCACGATAAACAACCAGACGCCCAAAACAGACGTGCATTTGAAAGACAGACATCACTTCCAGAAAAGGTAAAATGTGTGCTTCACTGTGACATGCTTAGGTTACTGTGGAGAAGTGTGGAGAAAAAATAATATTGCTCTTAGAAAAACGCATTCTCTTATAGATTTTGGAGAAAAAAAAGATTCACTGATTAATCTTTTTCCTGAAAGTTTTTTTTTCTTTGGGGGGGGGGGGGGAGGGGGAGAGATCCTTTCTCAGGGAAAAAATTGATATAGGTACAAGCAGGTTTTATGGTAAAAGGACCAATTTTTCAGAAAAAGATACCTCTGTCCCTTTGCCTTTGCTGGCTATGTCCCTGTCCACATCAAGGAAGCAGTCTTTTGATGAAGGGTCAAAATGTCATGCCTTCTAGGTAAAATAATAATGATTGGTCTCTTCAAAATGATTCAACTTTTTCTGAAATAACTTTCCTAATATTTTTCTCAAAAAAATAGATCAT